CACAACATTTCATACTTAATTTGGTAGGCGTGCTCTCAAGAACGATCGCTTCTTGATGCTCTTTCATTAGGTTTCTCTTAATTGCCATCTGTGCCTCCTTTCTTTATTCAAATTCTTGCTTAACATACAACTTGTTACCTATTATCCACGGACCATTAATTGAACCTGAGCTAGAGCCAGAACTTGAACCGTCGTGACTTAAATCTTGTTCCCTCGGATGATCCCAATTAATGTATGTGTAATGTGGAATGTCTTTCCAAAATGGAACAACATCGTCACCTACAAGTACAAAATTAAACATTAAAACCCAAAAAGCTACAAATATAAATGTATATTTTCAGCCATTTACTTACTTACCTTCCAAAATTGGCGGTAACTGAGTGGACGCGACATTATCATGTTCCTGGACATGAGACTCCCCCGCAACATTATATTCTAAGATTTGAGTTTTAGGAATACCACATTCATCATCGTTGTCTGAAGTGCTAGCATCCTCAGCAAGAAGTTGATCTTCCATTGCAATATTTTCATCATCGTCATCCTCACCATCATCTTCCATAACCCAGGTAGGATCATTTTCTCCTTCCTCAGACAGATTATCAACTGGAGCAGCAGATGATGATGCATTATGTGCAAAATTTAAAAATCAACTAACCTCACGGGTATAACAACATCCTCTGTTTCGGCAATATCCACGTATAACTCTAAAAAATCTTTTCTTGACTGGTTGAAAAACTCTCTGATTACCATTTCTACGTCTTCATCGTCAACAACTTGCATACTAAGTATTGTGATTCACACCATATTCTTGCAGTGACCATATTGATAGATTGTTTACCTTCAAGCGCTAACTTTTGACGAATTTTTTGATGCACTTCGCTAATTGTTGAGTTTTGCGTGATACGTGTTGGCCTTTTCTCGCCTTCAAAAATGACACCATGTCGACCTTCCATTTTCCTACCATTATAATATAAAACAACACGAACAAAATCAGAATGTGAACTCATTCTTAACTATATTAATAAAGAAAAACACAAAACAGAGTATGCATAGAAAGTAAGATTGTATCGAAGACTAAGAAGTTAAGATGAAGAAGAGTTGTGATGAATGTGGAGATGAGAGGTGTTTATATAGGAAAAATAGGTGCCATTCACGCCCAAAGTGGGCTGGAAAGGGGACTGAGTATAATAGCCCTAGCTTAATTAATTAGTAAATTACATGAAATTAAGTAATTAAGAATGTATTAGTGAGTAAAAATAAGTATAAGGCCTACTTAAGTGAATTGGGGTCACTTTTGAGGTAAAAAGTGTACTCAGTGAAAATTATGGGGTATAAATGGGTGTAGGCAAAAGTACCCAAATTATAAAAATAAAAGTGAAAATATTCCTAGATAAATATTCCAGACATTTGGGTAAAGTTTGGTGGTGAATAGAGTTGAATAGATAGATGAGCTAATACCTGGTTGATCTCACTTAACCTATGTTAAGTGACTAAAAGCAATTGAAACCCATTTCATTTCCCCCACATCCGTCGAGCCAAAAACAGGGAGAGAGGAGAGGAGAACAAAACCTTGAAGCTCAAACCCTAGATCCTTGGATTCTCAACCTATTTGAGTGATTCAAAAGCTTAAACCACTTGGAATCTTCCTCTCATCCTTAATCCAAGCTTGGTTGTGAGTGGGAAGCATTGTGGTGGGAGATTTCTTCCTCCAAAAATTCGACCCACATGGTTGTTGGAGAGGTTTGAAGACATTTCCTTCAAGGAGAGCTTAGGGGATCCACATTCATGGGTTGTGCAACCATTTATGGTGAGTTTCCACTCCTTGAACTTTGTTTTCATGGAGAATGTATTGTTGAGGAAGATGGTGAGTAGTGTTTTTGGGGTTGTATAAGTGTGAGGTTGATTTAAGCTTAAGACCTTTGTAAATGTGGTTAGTGATGATAAATAAACGGTAGAAATGAGTTTAGGTAATCATTTAGTTATTGTTCCATGTATTAGAAAATTTATGCTTGAAGTGTTGGTTTTCTAGTATTGTAAGGCATGGTTTGGTTTGGTTGGATATTAATTGTGTCCATGTGATGGGTATGATTGAGGAAATTGGACCACCTTTGAGTGACCAACCATTGGAGGGAGCTATGGAGCTTGATTAGCTCATTAGAATAGGTAAATTCATGTTTTTGTTATGGTATGAATTGGATAGTTTGGTTGATAATTATGAGATACTCTTGAATGTAATATGTTGATTGCATTACACATTGTGTAGGTGGTTGTTTGTGAAGTTGATTATTGTAATTGTTGGCAAAACTTGATGATGAGCAAAGGTTGAATTGGAGCTTTGAGGTAAGCCTTCGGACCTTGGGTGTAAATCCCTCTATTGTTCCACCAAGCCCTGAATGGGTAGTGGTTGTTGATAGTGTATATAAACGCAATGAAATAGTTTAATGCTTTGTTATACGTATGTGTATGCATTTGGTGTGGCATATGATGGTGTTTCCCTATGTTGGTATGTTGCATGACGATGCGTAATTCATACTTGGTAGTTTAGCTGGCCAGTAGGACTATTTGCATCTGAGTATCCTTAGGACAGCAAGATCTCGAGGGATTTCTCCTGGAGATGTTTGTTACACACTGCATGGATATGTATTTATTGCATTATTTATTGTTATTGCTATTATACTGTGATTGAACTATGGGGTGGAGAGATGCTCCAAGGACCCCTGGTTTACTGCGATATATTCGTATATCTCACCCCGTGTTGTGGGAACCCCCTTTCAGGTGCCGATGCTGCAGGAGCCTCTAGTGGCAACTCGCCGTATTTGGATTAGATGGTCATATGTTGATAGCTTCTCATTTTGGATTGCATCTTATCTACGATAGCAGATGTATATGTCATTTACATTGCCACATGTATATGTATATTTTGAGGACACATGATGTATTTTGGGGGACTTAGTGCATGATCATTGTAGTGGTGAATGCCTTGTTGTATATAGCTTATGGCTTTGATCATGTTCCTTTTGTAGCTAAGTCCTTTGGCATGTATATGAAATTTGTAAGAACAACGATGTAATTGAGACCTTGATGGATTGATGAATATGTAGTATGTTTATCATGTATTAAAGTTGTATAATGTCTATTAGGTGATAAAAGAATGGTGAAAGTGGGAGGAAATCTCCCATGGAGTCACATGAAAACAGGGGAGGACATATTTTGCCCAGCTGGAGAGCGTTTTAGCGCTGAAATAGGCGCTAAAACGCTCTAAGTTCGTAAAATGGAGGAAAGGTCTCTGCCCTTGGACGTTTTAACGCGCAAATGGGTGCTAAAATGCTCAAGTGGGCGTTTTAACGCTCAAGTTGGGCGCCAAAACGCTAAATTCGAAAAATCAGTAAAAACTTAGTTTAGTAAAATTGACATAACTCGAGCTACAGAGCTCCGATTTGAGCGCGGTTTGAACCCACTCGAAGCTAACAAAGAGATTTATAACATAGTATGAGATGAGAAGTATAAAGTAAATATAAAAATTCCAATTTAATAAAAAGTGAAGAGAGTTTAGTATTAAACTCGAACAGAATAATAATATGATGTTAAGTTTAGTTTTGATTATTCCTCAAAATAATAAGGTTATGGTCACGCAATTGGTTATTTCAAACTCGGCGTTGTTAAAAAGATAAAACAAGTAAGTTGTAAAACGAAAACGAAAAATTTATCCGAGTTTTTAATTGAACCAATGTGATTGTAACTGCGCTTAATATCATAAAGCAATGTTAACAAACCGGTTCTAGAACGGAGTGTTACACTGAGTCACGCCTAGAATGGGCTTGAATGTCCAGTGATTCACGCCTACATGGGGCGTGACTAATCACGCCTATTTTGGGCGTGAATGACGTGGAATTCACGCCTATCATGGGCGTGAATTGTCCTGCCCATTTGCGGCGTGAATGACTGCAACAGATCCGAAATTAATTTTCAAACTGCAACTATTTGTAATTAATTATTAAAAATGTAATATTGTAATTTTTTTTGCCAAATATATCGTATGAAAATAGAGCTTACCAATTATAAATATTTAATAAGAAATCCGAATTATAATATTTTTTACCTTATTATTATGAATGGCTTGTTTGTAGTGCAATATTCAGAATGCACGGACAAGAAAAAATTCTAACGGGCCCACTAATTCAGTTTCGCCCCACTAATTCAATTTTGTGTTTGTGCCTACCAACTCTCACTAATCGAATCCAGCATCATTTAAACAGGTCAAATTGTGTTTACATAAAAAAAAAAAAAAAAAACAGGTCAAATTGTAAGATTATTACTAAACCAACAACTCTAAAATAAAAATTATTATTTTTTGTTTGGGATAATAATTATGTCTATATTTTTTATATTTATTTTATCTGTTTCTTTTCAATGTTAGATTATAATCTCAATCAACAACAATAATATGAGAGATAAATAGTTAAAATTGGTTGAGATTGTGATATAATGATATTGGAGACTATTAATAACAAAGAAAAGATATTTATTCTTTAAAAGGATAGTTATTTTAATTAAAATAATTATTTTTTATTTAATATTTAAATTAAAAAATATTATATTTTCTTCATTTTTATTTTGCAACTTTTCTCTTATCATAAAAATTATAATTTTGACCAAAATGACATAATTTTATATCCTGACAAATAATAATACCTAATATCAATTAATAATGTCAAAAGTATCCTAAAACAAGAATAGATTGAAATTATAAAAACAAAGTTAATCGTAAGAGGTTATCGAATTAACCAACATCCTTACAAAAAATCATTTAACAATACATTCAATGAGTGCAACTTTGAAAAATGCAAAATCATTCAAGAAATAACCAATCATGATCGAAATACTTTGTATGGAAATTAACATACCCGTAATTTTTTTAATTTTTTGTAACATACTATTATGGCATTCAGTAGTTTAACTTAGTAGCATCATCAAGACACGCGAAGAACTGAATTTTTTTTACTGCTTCTGCTTCCACCACGAAAATCACGTTACTCATTTCAATCTCAATTCTGCTTCTTCTTCTTTTTCTGCTTCTGCTTGTTGTTCCCTTCCCAGCAATGGCGGAATTCGTGGATCTCGAATCGCAAGACGGTGTACGCATGCCCTGGAACGTAATTCCTGGCACGAAGCAAGAAGCCGTTAACGCGGTGGTTCCCGTGGCGGCGATCTACACTCCTATAAAACACTTTCCGGCGATGCCAGTGCTCCCTTACACTCCGCTCCGGTGCCGCACGTGCCGCTCCGTTTTGAATCCCTTCTGCATCGTGGATTTCGCCGCCAAGATCTGGATCTGTCCTTTCTGCTTTCAGCGCAATCACTTCCCTCCTCACTACGCATCCATTTCCGATGATAACCTACCGGCGGAGCTCTTCCCGAACTACACGACCGTCGAGTATGATTCCCCCGGCGACACCTCCGCCACCGTCCCTCCCGTCTTCCTCTTCGTCGTTGACACCTGCGTCATAGAGGAGGAAATCGGATTCCTGAAATCCGCTCTCTCCCAGGCTGTGGAGCTCTTGCCGGAAAACTCCCTTGTCGGGCTTATCACATTCGGCACATTCGTCCATGTTCATGAATTAGGGTTTGGTATAATCCCGAAGACGTTTGTGTTCAAAGGCTCTAAGGATGTGTCGAAGGATCAGCTTCTTGATCAGATGAGTTTCTTTGCCAAGAAGCCGAAGCCGACTGTCGGCGTGGTCGCGGGCGCACGGGATGGCCTCTCGTCCGAGAGCATTTCGCGGTTCTTGTTGCCAGCATCAGAGTGCGAGTTCACTCTCAATTCGGTAATGTAGCTGGGTAATGTGTCGTTTCTTGTTGTGGAATTGATGGTGCGGTAGTGGTGATTGTGTATGTGTACGTGTCTGTGTGGTTTGATTGGCAGGTTTTGGAAGAGTTGCAGAAGGATCCTTGGGGGGTGCCGGCTGATCAGAGGGCTACTAGGTGCACCAGCACGGCTCTGAGTATTGCGGCGAGTTTGTTGGGGGCCTGTGTTCCTGGTTCCGCAGCAAGAATAATGGCGTTTATTGGCGGACCGGCAACCGAAGGACCTGCTCCTGTAAGTAAGAGTTGCTTTGCTCATCATGCTTATGTTATAGCTTGCCCATGTCCTATTTAATGTACTTAGATATGTGACAGTTCTTGAGTCCTGTAAGTAGTTAATTGTTATAATTTTGCCTTGGCGAAATGTGTTGAGGGTGATAAAGAGAACAAAATATTGAGGGTGATAAAGAGAACCATATGCAATTAGTAAAGAGTGTTTGTCTTGCATAACTATGGGGTTTAATTCCTGATTGTCCTAATCACAGGGGACGACATCCCCTTCCAAATTTGATATGTGATGGTCAGCACAACTTTAGGAATTTATTGCCTAATTATCATAATAACAGGGATTTAAAGCCTGTGCATTCTAATAATAAGAATTTATTGCCTGATGTTGGCCAATCTGTTCTAGATTTTGAGTTATTGGGCCCAGAAAAAATCAGACACAGTGTGTTTCAAAGACTTGGGCACATCTATTCTCATAAAACTGTTTTTAAGAAACGAGACTGCTGGGTTGTTAAGAAAGTAGGTGAGGATCTATCCGTCTCTGGAACTCAGCCCCTTAATTTGAGTAAGGAATCTACTATGTTAGGTTGAGCATCACAGATTCAGTTGCAAGGTGCACTTAAAGATGGAGATGTGCATTGGCATATGGCCAAATGGTTAATGTTGGCAGTTCCAACTTCCAACACACGGACAATCATTACAATTCCCAAAATGAGGGTGACAAGGTTCAAAATTATTTCAGGAAAAAGATAGACGCTGAAGCAATTGCAGTTAGATAAAGTGTTCAACTTCAATTTAATAGTGATGATAACAGTTGCCTGTGTAATTCAAGATTTAAACTCTGAAGAATAGGTTGAAGAAGATTCTTATTTTGCAGACATTTAGGTGGGCAGGTTATTATGTGATGAAGATGATCTTTATTCCTTTTATGAAGACGATGAACATATGCTTTTGGATAAATTAAGGGGTGCTGAATATGATCGACAGACTGTTTAGGGCTTTAGGCAGGGAGTGAAGGAGCCTTTTCAGCATCAAAGTGATGAGGTTTATTATACTTTCAGTTTAGGTTTCCACGATCTCATGAAGCTCAAGATTAATCTATTGTCAGATCCTTCTGTCCATGTCCATATTATTGAGAATTCTGCTCTGTCTTTATGCTCAAAAGGTGTCAAGGGTTCGATCCTCACTGCCCCTCACTTTCTCTTGTGGAATTTCTTAACACAGGTAGGTGAGCCTGTACATTGTCCACTCTTCAAGTCTAGTGGGCTCTTGTGTGAGAGGGCGTGTTAGAGATATATAAAACCATTAATATAACCTCACCCACCAGCTTAAGCTTTTTGGTTGAATTAGTTCTTTACATTCCACATGCCATGGTAATGCTTAGAATTTTGCTCAAACAAACATTTTATGTTCATGGCATTATTGGGATGGAAATCAATGAACTCATGCCTGATTTTTTTTTTTTTTTTTTTTTAATTTGAGAAAATGATTCACTTGTTAAAGTATCATATTTTTATAGATATAAAAAAGAATCACCGACTGGGGTTGACTCACCTAATCAACCTTCTATTCCTACAAAGTGAGGACTTGGGTATGATTTTAGGATAAGTTGTTGATAGATGATATGTAATGTCACTATAAATCTTCGCTAAGGTTGGTGGTCTTCTCTAACTTTGCAGGGAGGTGAGCTCTCCCCTAATATAAACTTTTTGAAACCCAAAAAAGTAAAAAACATATTTACTAGATTATAAGCATTTTGAAAAAAATAAAATAAAATAGTCTATTGGAAGACTAATACCTTTTTATGGAAAGCAAGCACACATACTCTAGGCTTATCCTGCCTTGTCTTCTCACAGCTGTAAAGTAAACATTTCTTAAACAAACACATGAATTTATATTTATTTTTTTTATACATAGAAATAGGAGGATTTCAATAGTTGCTTGACTAAAAAGGGAAAGAGAGGGAGAGGGGGGGGGGGGGGGGGGGGGGGGCTGTATGTTAACACCTACAAATATAAAACGAAAAATGAGATAAAATAAAATAAGCATAACTGCGTGAATCAACTTTAATTTTCGTAAGAGACATAGGGTTATACTTGTAGGTGTTTTTTTACTTCTCTTGATATCATGGTCAAGAATGATTTCTTTGATTGGTTGATGACATTCAGTTGATTCTCTCTGTATGAACTATTGTATATTGTAGATTGTAACCAAACAACTTTCTGAACCAATTCGCTCCCACAAGGATCTGGATAAAGATTCTGTGCCACATTACCATAAATGTGTCAAATTCTATGATGGACTTTCGAAGCAGCTTGTACATCAAGGCCATGTACTAGATCTCTTTGCTTGTGCTCTTGATCAGGTAATGTTTTTACTTTTGTTCAACTGACCTTTTCTGGTTGGTATACAGCACTCTGCTTGTTTATAAGTTGATCAATGATTGTCTCTGTTCTCTACCTAGAGGGCTTTTCAGTGTTTAATTTTTGTCTAGCATAGAATATTTAAATGAAATCCAACTTTCAAGTACATCCAGTATAATAAAGAGTTTGTGATGATGGTTTAAGTTGTAATTCACTTCTTCCCATTATTTGATGTATTTAATTTTTCAAAGTTTTGTATTTTGAAATTTCTATGTTTCTAGTCTTCATGCACTAACTAAAATATTTTTATTCAATTTTAGCAGCTGGATTGAAAACTCATTGAACGTAAAATATGAGTGTTGTGCTCCAATCAAATGCTTGAAATGGTAGCAAGAATTGCATGTTGCGTTAAAGTCTGGCCTCTTTACTTATACCAAAACCACTAATGCTAGTAATCAAGAATTGCATAGCATTAAAAAAAAGGGCAAGCAATGTATTCGATAAAGAAACAGCAACAGAACAATGCAAGAAATATGGCTCTGAATTACTTTACTGCAAAAATATTTTCTTTTTTTTTTGCTGTTTTTCAGTCTTTAAGTACTGCTCTCTATTCTATGAAAAAAAAAAAAGGTTCTATAGAGATGACTCGTAAACCATTTCACTTATTTTATTCTATTATTTTAGACTCAAAAGTTATTAATTAACAAAGAGAACGTGAAACATCTGAATAGAATGTTTACATTTTTTTTCTTTTTCTGTGAATATTTTATTTGACCAGGTAGTTTGTTCTCCCCCTTTTTTCTTTTGTTTTTAGGATGATTCCTGGTCTTCTTTGCCTGTAATCTTCTCTTCTCTTATTAGATTCTTATTTTGGGGAAAAAAATTGTTTCAACAAATTATTTGATGAAATTTAAGTGTTTTGTGATATCTGGAGGCAATCCTGGCAGCTACCCATCGGTCTAATGCCTCCTACCCCTAATAACTAGAATTTCCAAGTTCATAACTCCTGTAGTCAGAAATCCCTGGTTGATTTTAAGGAGAATAGGAAAAAAGAAGGTCATCATTTTGTTAACTGTCCAATCTGATTTCGTTTCTGTTGAAGTTGTGTTATGCTAAGCTTATAGTTTTAGGTGGTCTGTAGGCTGACAAAAGTGTTATTCCTTAATTGCTATAGATGTGCATAATGCACATTCTGGTAGTTGTTTAGCTTTGTATGATTTTCTTGTAATTGAAAATAATATTTTTTGCTTTATGCTTTATCTTCCAGGTTGGTATTGCTGAGCTTAAAACTGCTGTTGAAAGGACTGGGGGCCTTGTTGTACTTGCTGAAAGTTTTGGCCATTCAGTATTTAAGGATTCACTTAAGCGTGTTTTCCAATCAGGCGATTATGATCTGGGTCTATCATCAAAGTAAGTCTTAAAAGATTTTCATTTTTTTAATATGATATATGGATCTTCCTGAGTTACCTTTTGGTAAAGACAACATACTGTATGCATAAATTTATTATTGTCATATAAGTGTTAGTAGCAGGCCCCCAAATAGGAAGGTGCGTGTGAGTAGAAATAAGGATTTGCCCAATGATTTAGATGGGCCAGGCCCTGTTAGTCAAAGGAGTTAGGGTTAGCTGATGTTGTTAGATATAATCAAGGTTGTTAAAATCGAGATCTTACCTAATATCAGAAGAGGATGAAAAAATTGTAAATCATGAGATTGACACGAATGGTAAGATCTTACATTTTTAATTTTAATTATAAAAAATATTTATATATATAAAAAATAACATTTAAATTATATTTGTATACTTGAGTATGACTAACCAGATCTGAAATCGAAAAATCCATTTATTAGAGAGAGCTAAAGGGATTGGTAATCCTTGAAATTATCCCAAAAAAGTAAAAAATAACAAGCGGTGGAAGAATCACGAATGGGCTTTCCTGGAACCGTTTCTCATCTTACTTGCTCTTTCAACAATATATACATATATATTAAAACAACAAAGTGAATGGGGTACTATATTAATTAAACTCACCATACTACCACAACACCGCTTCCTAATACAATGAGAGAGGAGAGGGCTTGAGTGGGAAACCCAATTCCATGGCCAAGTTCAGATCTTGATGGTGCCGCCATGCCCTTTGCACCAAAGGGTTTGGCTTTGGTATTTCAGATTCTGTCTTTCTCCGCCACCATCACCTCCTTTTTCTCTTTTCATCCTGCAAGTCTCTATTTGACTGTTTCTATTCATCCTGCAAATTTATATTTATCCTGCAAGGCTCATTCTGTCTCCTTTTCTTTCTGTCTCTCTTCCATCGATTCTCTTTCCTTCTATTTCTGTCTTCCAATGGCCAAACTTGCTAGCTAATGATTTCCCCCTTTGTGGATCTGATTTCCGATGACTGTCGCCGACAACCAACACCGTTCATCTTCTCTTCCTCTCTTTCATTATTTGTACATCTGTGTTTTTTTCACAAATCGTTGATACGGTAGGGTCGGACGATCCCACCGATTTTACGCCTTTACTCGTCAATCCTAGCTGATTTGAGAGGAGAACGATTTTATACACGTTCAGATCGCTTGAAGGAAAAAAAATCGTAGGATCGGATGATTCTATTTTCTACGCGATCTTAACAACACTGGATATAATGTATAGAATTACTTGTTATTAAGGGATATGGTTAGATACAACATTTAGGATTTCTTAATGTTGGTGTGTATTTCTCTAATTGATCAGTAGTTGGGAATATAAGGAAAAACAGGGCAGAGTGGAGGGATCCCATTGAGCTTGTAATATCACTCTTTCTCTTCATAACCTTGGGTTTTTCATAAATCCATGGATAAGGGAGATCCTACAAAAAATCTCATCTGTTTTTCCTTGGGTACTCCTTAAATTCTGGTCAAGTTCTATCATTCAGATACTAACTTATGTTAGGTAAATAGTACATAGTTACATTGTGTAAATACTAAATAGTGTACCACTACCATTGCATAATTGTGTAAATTTGGAAAACAAGTTGATTCTTGTTGAAATTGTAAGTTTTGGGGATAAGGAAGAAGGAAAAGTGAGAAAGATGACTAACTATAATAACACTAAATATAACATTGGCTTGGCAGATAACTTCTTGCTTCTCCTAGGCACACATCCCAAGCAAATGAGAATTATTTATTATACCTTTCTCCTCAGTGGCTCCATTGACCTCCTCAGTGTCCAAAATGGTCTCCAAAACACTGAGTTCAGGTATTGTACCGCCCAGTAATGACCTTAGCAGGGTCTCGATAACACTGAGTTGTGTATGATACCATCCAGTAACACAAATCGATACACATACTAAATTGTCCAAACCACAATCCTCATTAACAGCCATCACCTCACTGAGCAACTCGTTCTTCAAATTAGGAGTACCTGAACCAAAATTGCTGGAATAATATGATTGATTCTGTGGCATCTGAATCAAGAAACATATGTTTTCTGACCGTAAGTAAATCAATGAAGATGTGGGAGGAGTTACTTGGTACCTTTTGTCTTTAGCTGACAGAATCCCAAACCCAGAAACAGAAACATACCTTGTGGCTTCTGAGTTCAGCAAGAAAGCCCTGAAACCAGAATTACATGCTTTCTAACAAAAAAAAAGCCAGTGAAGGTGTGAAAGCCCTGAAATATACTCTGGTATCCTACCGTCCAATGGCTGCTGACTCAATCAGATCCTTTCTTTTGAGTATTGGAAGAACCAAGCTCTGATGACACGTTACTGCTGGATAATAGACCAGAAACGCTACCATGAACATAGCCTTAGTACAAACGATATTATTCTAAGTTCTAACATATATTAAACTTTCTTAATAATTACTCTTGGTGGTCCTTATCCTCTTGTCTTCGTGTATATATATATATATATATATATATATATATATATTTCTTTTTGTTTCTTATTTTAGCTTCTTTTTGCAGTGGAATATTTGAGATAAACTGCTCTAAGGACATGAAAGTCCAAGGCATTATTGGCCCTTGTGCATCTCTTGAAAAGGTATATCTAGAAGCTTTCTTATCTTTTTTCTGCTACTGAAATTTTAGATGCTGTATTCCCCCCACCCTCCAACACACACACAAATAGATGCTTAGCTGCTTCTTTGTATTTGCAGAAAGGCCCATTGTGCTCAGATAATATAATAGGTCAAGGGGGTACAAGTGCATGGAAGATGTGTGGCCTTGACACATCCACATCATTGTGTCTGTTTTTCGACGTTGTGAGGAAGGAAAGTCCTGATGCTACAGTACAGTCCACAAGCAATCAATTTTACTTCCAATTCTTGACTTAGTATGAAAACCTTCATAGTGCACCTTTGAATAATCTATTGCCTGTTATGGTATTGTAGATGAAATATTTCTCACTCATCACAGATATTTTGCTTCAGTTATCAGAATCACAGTGGGAAAATGAGATTGCGGGTTACGACCCTTTCACGAAGATGGGTTGCTGGACCAGGAAGCATACAGGTAAGCTTTTCTTTGCCACCCTTTGATTCATTATTCCTGATTCTTTTGATCTACATTCATTACTGCAAAACAATTTGTTTGGATTTTTCTAATTGTGAAAGTGAATTATTATTTATAGCCTTGGGAATGTTGCACTGTACAATTTTCTTTACATACAAAGAATTAAGATGCAAATTAAAGCCTTTTATTTATTTTCTTTTTCTACCATTCTGTTTCTTCCCTTGCATAATGGTCTATGAAGACAGTATATGTTCAGTACTAACATCAATGTTCCTGTTGCATGTTTTATTATCTGTGATTTTGGAGACATAATTTTATGAGCTTGTTTAGAACTGCTTTGTGCATGATTCCTTTTTAATTGCTCTTTTTTTTTTCTATTGTTTTTCTTTTCTTTGCTGAATTGGAGTTTTTGTGCTGATAGTTTTTGTATACTGATCGATATCATTTTTATATTTTGTTGATAAACTTTTACAGTTGGTTATCAATATTGCATTTTTAGTTTGACTTATGTTTGAAGATGTGTTTTGTTGCAATATGAGATACTGTGGCAACTAAGTAGCTTGTTTTTTGGCCTTTTGGGAGAGCATTGAATCTGTCTGCCTATATTATAAATCTTGAATGATTTTAGAGGCTTTGTGAGCGGAAAGGAAATGAGGTGGTTAAGAATTGTAGCTTCTTTTCTCTTTGGTGGAATACGGTGTATTTGGCTGGAGCATAATTTTAGAATTTTTCGCAACTTATTTTTCCCTCCTCACTCTTTGCGTGACAAACTTGTTTGCTTAGCTTCCTTGTGGGAACTTGGGAAGCTCATTTGTTGTTTTAGGGAGATTGATTGAGCTGGTAAGTCAAGTCGAGATATTGGATGTGGAGGGAACTGGTTAATGACAAATGGCAAATAACTTGGCATTTGAGGAGTTCTTATTTAAATATTTTTTTTTTGTTTAAAATAGTATTTATGTATTTTTCTCCCTTATTTGTTTTTCTTTTCTCTTAATCTTTTTTATTTTTTACTTGGGTTCATGGACCGCTGACCTCATATAGTTTGGGATAAAAGAGTTGATATTTTTAAATTGGTTGTTTCCTTGTATGATATGCAATGGGACTGTTTTGCTCCTTTGAGCTGAATATTTTTTCTTTCGTGCCTTTCCTTTGTGGTTTTAAAGGACTCCTGATTCTCCTGTTTGTACTAATTTTCTTAATGGACTTTCCTTTCATCCAAAATAAAAAGAATGTAGCTTTTTTTCTAACTTTTAGTTTATTTCCCATATATAGATCGGGGGTTTTCTTGTGGCCTTTTATAACTTTCTTTCAGATTTTAAGTGTTTACCGTTTCTTCAGTTTTAAAATGTCTTTCTATTGCTAAAGTAGAAATGTTTAATACCTGTTTGTAGTCCTGATGGCTGAGTTCTGTATGGATGGGTTGGACGATTTCACTGGAACAGAGTTGTTAGTAGGACCATCATATGGCAGTTAGTTGGATTGTTGTTAGAGTCAATCCTGTAGTGGTGTCAAAGTTGTGGTTAGATTCTGATAGGAACTGGATCAGATTCAGACAGAAACAGAAAAGAGGGATGTATCTCCTCTCCTGAATTGATGTCAAGGTGATATCAGATCAATGGGGTCTGTAAAGTATACACGGATTTAGAAGTCTCAGGAAATGAAAAGAAACACTGATAGTCCCCACCAGGCAATTCAAGAGTGCCTGATCTGTCCCTCCCAGTCCCTTCCTCACTCACTATTTCCTTGCCTTCCCCATTTCCTGTGTTGCCGTTGTCCCCTCTTGCATGATCCTCACCTCATGCCATTTAAGCAGATGGTTATTTCCATCCTCGTTGTCAGCATGACTCAAGTGGGTTCCTGATTCTCTATATCTCTTCCTACTGTACACTTTAGTAACCGTAGGCTTCTTAACAAGATTCATAGAATAAAAAGGAGAGAAGTTTCCTAATAGGCTATGCTAACATAATTATTATGACTTATGAGTAACATCTGGGAGTGGTTTTTGTAGGAAGGACATTTTAATTTTTCCATTTTGCTGCTAATGGTAGGAGCTATGTAGCACCGATACTGACACGGGATACGTGACACGACACTCCGACACGTTAATTGTAAAAAATATTATATTTCGACACGTTAGGACACGTTTTGATATTAAATAATATTTTTAATTTATGAAGTGTATATTATATTTAATATTCAATAATTTAACAAAAAAATGAAACTAAGCTTATAATATTCATCAATTTTGCACAGAAACATAATATATCCCAAATATTTATATTAAACGTAATAAAATGGTAATCGTAATCCAACGAATATAATAGTTGAAACTAAAAACTCAATGCAACGCAACCTTTGAAGCTTTTTTTGAATTTCTATACACATGTTAAAGTGTCGGAGAGTGTCGGGAAGTGTCGGACACGACACATCAAGATTTTTGAAGTGTCGGTGCTTCATAGGGTAGGAGTGGTGGAGTTACATTACTGGTGAAGTGATGACCACTGGTCTGAGTCTGACTAATTTTGTTGTATATTTGTGAAGCTGAGGTCACTTTTGAGGTATGATGATTTAGGGCCTCTATTATCTGCTAGGATTTTGATAGGGATTTTTATATGAAAAAGAAGGGAAAGGTTTCGGTGCAGCGTGCTTGCATATTTGCATTATGATTGCTGAACTTTATGCATACAATACCACTAACACTAATTGGGGAACCTTTAAAGAGTTTTCATCCAGCTTCAGTGGCTCAAAGGTGAGCAAGGTTGGAGATGGCTTACGGTCTGATGAGTGTGAAAGTTTTGTTAGGGTGATATTCTTATTTCTTATAACTAGTGAATTTTATCTGTTCAGTTTTTCTTTTTGTCCCTTATATGTGACATTCAGTGCTTATGGTGGTATAATGTTTCATGGGATGATTTATCATGTAACTTGTGCAGTCTATTTTCTTTCTTGGTGTTTTAAATTTTCATGATAGTAATTTTTTTTTTTTCATTTATTGTTTAAGCCATCTTGCTGAATTCTTCAGTGTTTATATATCATATATGTCTAAAATGTTGTAGGACTTGATTGCTGGATTTGACCAAGAAGCAGCTTCTATAGTCATGGCACGCCATGTCTCTTTCAAAATGGAAACAGAGGTAAATGCTTTTGCAGTTGTGTAGTTGTATTTTGGATAAATGTATCAACTTCCACCTAATATATATATATATATATATATATAGAGAGAGAGAGAGAGAGAGAGAGAGAGAAGGGAGGGGGGATCTTTTGACTCCAGTGTAAGATTAAGAAGTCTTATTCCTCATTTATCTGTTGATTTCGTCTATCTAATGGTTGTAATTTATTGAGTTTTACCCATTAATTATTATTAATTCCACATAAACTATAACAGTTCGATGGGAGAAAATCAATGGCTAAGATAAGGAGTAAGACTTCTTAATCTAATTACTCATATGAATGGTAAATTAGAACGGCTAGATATAAGAGGGATCAACCGTCAAGATTGAGAATGTAATTTATACTGGTGTAAAATGATCTTATTCTATATATATATATTTGGTTGACTCAATGTCATTGGTTTTGTTTCTCTTGCAAAATTTAATTTTGGTATGTAGTGAACAGAACAATATAGAAATATCTCTATACTTTTTCTGCTTCATTTCTATAACTTGCATTAATTAATTAAATGGATTTTAGTTCTGTAAATTTATTACTCCAGTGAAGCATGAGAATGGCCAAAGAAAAAAGACAAAATACAACACAAAAAGTGGCATGGGGTTTCCTTTTTTTTTTCCCCTCCTTTCATAAAAAAAATGTGAAGGAATAAAATGAATCATAACCCATTATACTTTGTTAAAATATAGTTGAAAAGTTCATTGGCTTAAAGAATCAAGATCATAAGTATTTTTTGCCACTTGATATATATGATACATCCGTAGTTGTGTGAATTGAGAACCTGCTTATGGCTTTCTCACTGTTCAGCTTGACATGGTTTTCCACTTGTGTAAATGTTATCTTTGGAACATTGTGTAATGCAATGCAATTTTTGATTCAGGCTGAATTTGATCCTATCCGATGGTTGGATAAGGCATTGATAAATTTGTGTTCTCGATTTGGAGATTTTCAAAAGGACACTCCATCTTCTTTCAGTTTGTCTCCCAGGTTGTCAATATTCCCGCAATTTATGTTTCATTTACGACGTTCTCAATTTGTTCAGGTATCCATTTTGTATTTTCAGATTTTTAAATGTTTGTTATTGCTGATTTGTGCCCCACTTATATTTTGTACATCAATGGTGTTTACTTTTTTTCTTAATCATGTATATTGCAGGTCTTTAACAACAGCCCAGATGAGACTGCTTACTTTAGAATGATACTGAACCGTGAAAATGTTGCTAATTCGGTTGTCATGGTTCAGCCTTCATTGATTTCTTATTCATTCCATTCTGGTCCTGAACCAGCTCTTCTTGATGTGGCAGCCATTGCGGCTGACAGGATGCTTCTTTTGGATTCATTTTTCACTATTGTTATTTTTCATGGTTCAACCATTGCTCAATGGCGAAAGGCTGGATATCATAATCAACCGGAGCATCAGGTATTCTTTTGGACATGTTATAGCTAATTTGAGTGTGAGTGTATTTTATTTTGTTATGATCCAAGGTCTGTTGTTAGAGAATAAGAATATCCTACTGCTGGAGACAATATAGCATCAAGAAATGCCTGAGAGTGTAGGTGAAATCATTTCAGTATTTTGGTATAATTTCATAGTTTTGGACAAATTGTAGTAGTTCATGGGCTTTACTTGATCATAACGGTTTAAAATTAAGTCCAGTAAGGTGCTTTTGCTTGCTGCTTAAGTTTATATGTCAGATATAGGGCTATGCTTACAGCTTCTGCAAGATTTTACTTAATTTTGCAGCTCCTAGGTCGAAGTTGGGTAACAGTGTGAGAATTCTAAAAGAAAAGGTTTCATTGGAATTGTATTGCAATAAGGAGAGGATACATATATAAATACACACCATGTGTGATTTAAAAATGAAATAAAATAAGAAAAAAAAAACCAATCAATCCTAAATAAAAACGGAAATAAATCTGTGTACCAAAAAAAAAGGGAAATAAATCTAATCCTAATTGATTGAATCCTATTAATTAGGGATTTGACAATCTCTTAATAAATGAAAATAACCTTCAGATTTTCTACACCCCTCCTCAAGTTGGTAGGTATATGTTGATCATTCTCAACTTGCCAATTAGGTCTTCAAATAGTGGTCTATGTAGGCCTTTAGTAAGGATGTTTGTTGCATGCTCTTTGGTAGGAATTTATGTCATACACATTTCCATCATCTAGCTTTTCTTTAATAAAGTGGCGATTAACTTCCACATGTTTCGTCCTATCATGGTGAATAGGATTTTGAGCGATACTGACAGCAGCGGAGTAGCCTTGTTCAATCCCTCAAGAAGTCTTCTCAGCTAGACTTCCTCACAAACTCCATGAGTTAGAGCCCGTAATTCTTCCTCAGCACTACTTCTTGCAACTACAGTCTGTTTTTTACTCCTCCAAGTCACAAGATTGCCCCACATGTAGGTGCAATAGCCTGAAATAGATCTTCGGTTCACTGATGAACCTTCCTAATCTGCATCGGTGGATTTCAATCAACACCTTGGACTCCTATATGAAGAATAGTCCTCTGCCAAGAGTGTTCTTGAGGTACTTAAAGATCCTGTGGACAGCTCCCAAGTGTTTCACCCTAGGTGAATGCATGAATTGGCTAACCATGCCTACTGCAAAGGCAATGTCAGGTCGATTGTGGGATAAGCAAATCAGTATCCCAACCAATCTCTGATATTGTTCCATGTCTACCTCTTTTCCATCTTCAGTTCCCAACTTAGTGTTAGGTTCCATAGGGGTCTCAGCTAGTTTGTGTAACATCCCTGTCTCGAGCCGGTTCAATTAACATACATATGATACTAAACAGAAACAGCGGAAGACTTAACTTACGAAAATACGAGCAACTTTTTCTTTTTCTTTAATCCTATTTCACATGATATATCACATTGCATACTTCATCTAGTTTAATTCTTATTTGACGGAGATGAAAATCGAACAGAGTGACGTCTGTAAATTGGACAAACGGGGATTTGCAAATCCCACTCTCAAGGTATCCTGATAAACCGTTTATACAAAATATGATTTCAGAAATACCAGATATCCATATAGGACCATATACCCATCCATGGGCGCATGCACAACTTGGCTCCGTGCCACTATAACTAACAGCATACATATCCAACATGTAATCATATAACTGAATATGACCTCCTAATATAAACATGCCTGAATACACAATTGTACATGCATCAAAGCGGAAAACATGTACAAAACATATACAGGTCATATACAAAGTAACATATCAGACATCATGATCCACCAAAATAAATGGAATACTAATGCAAATCACAATCCTCCAAAATAATGGTAGCAGACTGCTACCCAAAAATCCGGTCCATGATACACTATCCACGGGTCGTATCCCTGCCCCGTGTAGACTCACCGGCAATCTGTGTACCTGAAATGATGTCCCCAAACGGGGTGAGATAACAAATCTCAATAAGCTCCAGGTTTATAGAGAATTCTCCATACCCCTGGGCCCACTCCTGCATGAAAGTCAGATACAGAGTATATAAAACATCATATAACAGATATCATAACTAAATAAAGCATATATACATATCTTATCAGAGGCGTACGCAGTCATTCCTAAGGGAGGACCCTAAGCGAAAATCAACGCACGTGTTTCTAAGGGAGAACCCCAAGCAGAACCAAAACATATCAGATGTGTACACAGTCAGTCCCGAGGGAGGACACCAAGCAGACATCAGTGCACATACAATCAATGGCCACAGATCAATACAAAAATCACATCAGAACAAATCATATCATGTTATCAAATAGCTCTATATGAATGCATCTATACAAAGCATCAAATACAATCATACAATCCAACCATAGTCCACTAACCATGGTGGAGCACTCAAGTAGGAAAAGACTCTTTAAACATAGAGCTTACCTCTTGAAGCTTTACCAATTCGCTTACTTGTAGTACAAGTTACTTATATAGCTCCAACAGGATCCAAACCCCCTCAATCCCTAGGCACACCTAGAGGAGGAATCCAAAACAAAAATCAATAAAATGATACAATGCCATGAATTTACATAAGGCATACATTTTATCGCTTACTTTCATTTCTTTACATTTATGCCAATACACAAGTCAAGACCATACTTTCATAAATTCCTTTATTAGACCATTTTAAGGATGATTACATGAACCACAAGCACTCTCATGGTTTCATACCCACATAGGGTCCTAAAATAACCCAACCAAGCTTCTAAAATACCATTTTATAATTTTAACATTTCCTAGCCTCACAAAGCCTACATGGCCGAAGCCACATCAAGGAAAAGCTAGGGATTTACATCAAATAATTGACACAACCAATAGTTCCTAGAACCTACACTTGATCCCTAAGTTAACTAGGTATACTCTTAAGAATTTTAAACATAATTCATGCCCATTTTTCTTCACAAAGCCGTGGGGTACACCTATAGGGAACCAAGACGTTTTTCCCCATTTCATAAGTCATTTCGTTTCATAACCATACCAATGAACCACATTGGAGTGCTAACACATCATCAAAACAAAATTTACACAATCATCCCCCATTGGAACCATGATGGCCGAAATATAATGTGATGTTTTTTCCAAGGGATTTTTTTTTTGTAATCTCAATTTCACACTTTATTCACAATTTAGTGCCACGAATTGGAGAGGAGGAAGAACTCTTGCCACAAGCAATTTCAACCTAAATAAAGTGGTGGAATGGATTCCTTGGATGATTTACGATCAATTTCGTGTAATGGACTTATGGATTTGGATGCTTGTGTAGTGAGAAATCAAAGGAAAAAGAAAGGAAAACCTAAGCCTTCCATGGATGAGGAGCTTGTGACGTGAATAGTGACTTACTTTAGTGACTTGGACTTATATGCACATGTGGCATTTTACCGGTTGTTTTTCTCTCACTTAATTTCACTTAAGTTAACCTGGAATTAACTTAAAGCTACAAACATATTTTTATTTTTCTGAACTTATTTATATTAATTTTTATTCTCTAAGGAACAATATTCACAATTCACAGTATGGTTTCTGCACCGTTTTTGACGAAATGCACCGTGAATCACTAACTATGCACCGTTTGCATACAAAACTTAAAACTTATAAACTTATCATTCTTGGGTCTATTATGACTTGTTTGGCATATATTGGACTTCCTTTATTCTTATTTTATCAATTATTTAGTTCTGGACTCTACCGGTTGCTAAAACAACGGTACAAAATACCCTGCAGAAAACACTATTCATGAGATTTTCACGGAAAGTGCCAGACTATACAATTTTTCGTTCTGAACTAATATTTGGCATCAGAATTGCCAAATTATGTCTCTAAACTCATTTTGCTCATTTTAATCTCTACCGGTTGATTCACAACAATGCAGATCATCCGGCAGAAAGCACTATTCATGGCCTAGTCATGATCACAGTCAAAATACTCGAAATCATGTTCTGAATCTAATTATGGCATTTAAATCCTTAAATTAAATCTCTAATTAAGATTTACCAGTTGGGGTCATTATAGTTTGCACCCTAGCATGCTTGTCTTATGCAAAAGGTCAAGGATATATTTCTTCTGAGTAATAGTGATTCCTGACTTGCTCCGAGCCACTTCTATTCCAAGAAAATACTTAAGGTTTCCAAGATCTTTCGGTTAAAATTGGTTTGCTAGATACTTGGAATCTAATTCCTCACGATCATCATCTATAATAATTATGTCATCCGCATAAACTAACAATAGCAATTTTACCATCTGTGGAGTGTTTGTGGAAGAGAGTATGATCGGTTTATGCTTGGAGAAAGCATTTCCTCTTGATTGATTGAGTAAATTTTTCAAACCATTCGCTCGGTGATTGTTTAAGACCATAGAGAGACTTCTTCAACTTACAAACAACCATTTTCCTTTTTGAAACTGGGCAAAGGATCCATATAGACTTCTTCAACAATAAGAATGCATTCTTCACATCTAGTTGTAAAGGCCAATCCAAGTTAGCAGCCAGAGATAAGAGGACACAAATTGTGTTGACCTTAGCAACTGAAGTAAAAGTCTCTTGATAATCTATTCCTTTAGTCTAGGTGAATCCTTTCGTAATCAACCTGACCTTGTATCTATTTATGCTATTATTTGCATTGATTTTGATAGTGAACACCCACTTACAACCTACCGGCCTTTTTCCTCTAGGTAATGTCATTGTTCCCTAGGTTCCATTCCTGTCCAGAGCATCCATTTCTTCAAGGACAACATTTCTCCACTTGGATCATCAAGGACTTCCTGGATTTTTCTTGGTATTTTTGTACTGTCTAAGACAGTATAAAGGCACAGAAACCTGGAGACAACTTCTCATAGGAAATATGGTGAGAAATAAGATGAGCAGCATGATCGAGTACCTTTTCTTAGAGCAATTGGAAAGTGCAGATCAATTGTG